TCCACAGCTAAGACTCAGTAAGCTCTACGGCAGATCCCACCATGCATCTCCATGGTGTTTGAACTGTGATTGGAGACAATCACACTTGACATTCTGCACTGGCTTGGGACATATTAACAATTAATCGGCACAATCTTAATGTTTATGCCTTCCTTCTGTTTTTCACTGATGTCGACATTCAGGAAACTGTGACTGTAAAACATTTCACACCAATGACAATGAAGGCCATGGTGTACTGGCTGAGTCAAGTTGGACTCTGTTGTGGTTTCTACGAGTTGACCACCCACTAGGCCTTACCACACAGGAGCGTGTCTGTGACATATTCACACCTATAGAATAACATGCTCAAATTGACATGTGGCTTTCAGAGCATCTGGTCAGCACCATGCTCAAGTTCCTCTGCAAGGGCACAATCCGGTTATATCAGAGCTATTGGGATGACGTATTACAATAATAATTGAATCAGAAAGCACCTTCTATGGTGGGTTATATATAACACGCTTTAAAACCTGTAAATCAGCCTAGGTACGAGCATTGGTCAGGACATTGTTATAGGCAGTACAGTCACGACATTTGTTTACATTTTTGCCAACCATCATGGGAATGTTTGATAACAAATGTCCAACACTGATCAGCAATAACTCGTGACAACCACACTACCAAAGCAGTCTTTATTGCTTATTAGCCATGATAGACATTCTTTTTGATAACCTTTGTAAGAGATGCAGACTTATCCTTTGTCAAAAACTAAGCCGACTAATCTTGTAGACTTATCTGCCCACCTTCCTACAGGTGTACCCTGTGTCTCATGCATGTGCTGAGACATTTCTGGTGCTGCATACAGGAGAAATCCAACACTCAAGTGTAGATGAATGTCTCTGCATAGCAGCATCACTCTATCTAGATTGGTCTTGGAGACCATTATGAATGCTTATGCAAAATCAGTCATCACCCAGTGAGGTCATACTCTAAAATGCTTGATTCAAGGGGAATCTCACTGACATTCAGTGGCCGAGTCACTATTGATCTTGGGCTTGCCCAAGGTTACTGGATATCACAGAACTCTCATTTCCTACTACCGTAAGAACCTCATCCCTCAAGTTAGTGCAGGACGTCAGAGGCTATACCCTATTGCTGTGGGCACAGGATTACAGACAGTGATTGCTTGCCATATTTCATGTCTAACATTTTCTTACATGACCAACTGTGGATTCTCAATAGCCCTGCCTATTTGATTGCTTTTTTGGTTCTTAAGTCCAAAAATTCCAATATCTCACGGTGATAACACCCTATTTGCTTAGCTCAGACAATAATCTAACAAGCAACCACTCGGTTAGCAATGCACATTTCAATTATAGAATTGAAGATATCATCACAAAATGAACACATCTGAGAGATCCACCTATATGTATAATATCAAAACAATCAGACTTATGGTTTTAAAAAGAAGTCAAAAATATAGTTAGTATCAAAGCAATCAGGCTTGTAGTTTTCAAGAAGAAGCAAAAAAAGTTGACATGAACAACAACTGACAATCACTCATATGATAAGCTCCACTTGACAAAGTCGACAGCAGAGCTAAAAAATTAGTGCTAGTAATTGGCTAATAATCAAATGAACTAAAGCAGTTTTTTTATTTCATGCAAACTTATAAAAAGTTCTGTCCCCACAAGGCAAGCCTGAAAGTTATGAAGTAATTATCTACACATGAAAATGATCATGAAAACACATAACAAGGTTTTATCAAAAGTCATATTTATTCAACAATAATACTGCAAGTTTTTTCAGTAAAATATCTCTATCCAACATGCATAAAAAACAGAAACATTTCGTAGAAAGGTGGTACATTGCTATGGTTACAATTAAACGCATCTTAAAATGGTATCTTCACTCCTATTCTTTTAACACTGGGGCAGTAAGAGTTGGTGCAGTATCTAGTGCAAGATAAGAGCAGTGGAGGTTTTAATTGGGATTGTGCCTTCTGGAGGTACATGTATGTTAATGAATTTGAAAGCTCTGTGATATCCTACATTGTAACTACTGTACATGTATATATAGAGGACATAGGTTCTGGTACAGTGACACATCTTTTTTTTCTTCTCAATTTCATATTATTCTGGCAGAAACCATGGAAAAGTTGTTAGTGGGTCCTTTTATAAAAAATAGTACATCTACAACATAGATAACATAGTCAAAAACATTTTCGATTATCATTTACTCAAATGCATATGCATCTATTTTGGGTTTTTGTGCATTGTTAATGTTGTTTGTGCATTTTTAAATACCGGTACTATTGTGTGATCTGTTAACTCGTGGCATAAGTTTTCCTATGTGATACTCAGATTTATGACTACGATTTTTTGTTAAAATCTGTACAATCAATTTTTCATCTTAGAGTTTAGAGTACTGTAGTTAATTGTGGCAATTTTCAGCAAGTTCATATGTTGGAGACTTACAAACATGAGAGTTTTAATAAACAAATAAACTTGGATGTATGGGAACATTTACGATTCAAAGAAAGGAAATCTAACACCACTTCAAACATTTGTTTTGATGTAATTATAGACCTCTAATCTTTGCACCAAGTAAACCAATTTTTTGAACAATACATTAATTATATTTAATTACATTGTATGTAATCAATTTTAATTTACAAAAAAAACAACGTGTGGAATAAACCATTTTGGAATGGGAGAGGCAACATGATACTAGGGTGACATTTTAATATATCAAAGTAAGTGTGAAGTAAAGTTTTAATAAAGATGATAATCATAAAAATTATATGAATAATTTGCAACAAGATAGAATATGGTCTTAATAATCTAATAAAGTAAATACAAATCTTAAACAAGCACCCTCTCGACTGAGATAGCTCCGCTATTAGCAATGCACATTTCAATTAGAAAACTGAAGATTAGAAAATGAACAAATCTGAGAGAGGTCTACCTGAGATACTTACATGTATAATATCAAAGCAATCAGACTTACGATTTTTAACAAGGAGTCGAAAATATCACTTTTTACCAAAATGACAAAAATATTCATCAAAATTAGAGAATTAAAGATTATCATCATGAAATGAACAACTGTAAGGGAGGTCTGCCCAAGATACATATACACCAAGTATCAAAGCAATAAGAATTGTAGTTTTAAAGAAGAAGTCACGAAAGTAAAAGGTTGGCACGGGCGACGACGGATGCTGACGGACAATCATTCATACGATAAGCTCCGCTCGACAAAATTGACAGCGGAGCTAAAAAGTGCTAGATAAATAAAGCCTGATTAAAATCATCAAATGTATATGGCAGTCTACTCTTCAAAACTTAAGTTTTTTTATTC